AATTTGATTATATGAAATAATTTTTAAAATATTAAGATAAACACAAAGTAAGGTTTTGTCTATCGCCGTACGACAAGAATATTAACGACGTCGTAATGACGTTACTTTTAGGTACTCTGTAAATCCTGTAAATTTTCGTGCTTCTTTTTACCGTCTTCCTTGGAAGACTGTTCTCAGAGTTGAAGTATTTTACAGTCTTCGGACTATGCACTTCCTCTCTTTTGTGATTGGTAGAAATTGCATGAAGTAAACATTTTCGAATATTTCATTGGTTGAAATGCTGTTCAAGACAAGGGAAATAATTTTCTGGTGATTTCAACGACTTTTAAAAGTCATAGGATACAATTTTTCAATATTTTCAATCTTTGAAAAAATGGACGAAACGAACTGGGGAAAATGGCAATAGATGAATCTAAATAAGACTTTAACTTTTATAGCAATTATTATAAAGCGTTTCTATATTTTTATGGTAATCAGAAATGTTCTTTGTTGCACGCAAGCATTACAGCTTCTCAAATGTGGTAGCGGAATCGTAAAATCTAAATTTTAATTATACAGTAGCAAATGTAACCTATCATTTGGTCCTATTTTTCTGAAATATTTTATTGCAATTGTTAGGCCTTTGTTTTCATAAATTTAACTACGGAATATTCCGTCTACCTGATCAATACATAGGGCTCACGCGGGGGGTGATCGATCGACAAGGGATGCTTAGTAAACTCCTCCTCACGCTCCTAGTCACCTGATACATGTGTACCACCTCCAGGGTCTGTGTTTTTTGCTCTATTCACATATTCGTATTGTTATAGTTTTTTTTAGATAGATAACTGTTCGTTAGCTTCGCCTTCTTCACAGTACCAAAGTTAATCTACCAGAAAAGCATCCAGGGTCTACAAGGGGCCAAGAAGGGTAACACCGTCGCAAACCACAGGTTTTTATATTGTACGAAAAATTTTCAATTCATCCTTCGGCTGAGTTCCCCTCAGATGCCTAAAAATGTATGCGTCTTATTAAGTTTCATACATAAAGGATTATCATTTTGACTGAATATGGGTTTTTACGAGTTCCACTAAAAATAGACATTTACTCTTCTCTTATAATTACATTTTCTTCAGTTTAACCCTATACATTTCCTGCAAACAAAACGCTACTATAATCTTCTACATGACAAGGCCTTGAAGAACTTTTTTTTTAAATCCCAAGAGCAAAGAAGAGGTAATGTTCTCGACCCTCTTTTATTTTCAATATATGTTGTTGCCAAAAACATGATATCTGTTTGCAGACTATTCACAGATGACAACTCTTTACAAGGAAACTCAAGTGATGTGCGCCTCATTGAACAAAATTTAAACTTAAAGTTTCTAGATGAGTGGTCCAAAATATGGCTATTAAAATTTAATCCCAGTAAAAGAAAGGTTACTGAAGTATTTTTCAGCTTAAAAAATACAAAACAATTACCTGTATTCTTTATGGGAAATTGCCAGTTAGAATATATAAAACAACATAAACATCTTGTTGTTATTTTGTCATCTAAATTAGGTTGATCTGATTAGAGATTATCATTTATTCGACCACAACTGGAATGAGCGCTGAAGTTTAGTCAGACTGTTCGTTGGTATATATTGAAAACTTGAAAAGGTTGAACTGAACGCTGCAAGAATTGTGATAGGTCTTTCAGTATTAGTATCAAGAAAGTCCTTGCGTGTTGAAACAAGTTTGGATCGTCTTTTATTAAGAAGAGACACACAGATAAGTTAGGGCTCCCGGTCCCGAAAAACTAGTCAATACATTTTCTGAATTACCAAGATATGACGATTTAATAGAAACTGCATCAAGTCACTGCAAGCTTGAGCAATAATGACGGGAAGAGTATCATAAAATTCATTCTTCACGTCAAACCACATAAACACATGTGTTAGAACGTTATTGTAAAATTTATGTGTCTGAACTATAGTTTTAAGCCAGAGGGATGTTATTATTGTGAATATAACGACGTTACTTTGTTTCATTTCTTTAGATTGAAAGTGTATTCAAAAGGATAAGGCATAAAAACTTGACTATGAAATGCCCCTTATATCATTATTAATTGGCATCTTTTTAAAATTCTTCCTCTCAAGAACAACTAAGCCATTATTAGCCATATTAATTCTAAAGCATCCTCAGGTAGTGTAGATTTAAAGAACTACGCACGCTAACTATCGATTCCCGCCTACATTTTACACCCATTTAATTCAATACTAATGGCAATTTGGCCGTAAAATTTTTGTTGAATGCAAAGAACAGTTCAATTATAATTGAATGATAATTTTAATTCCAGTGTTAAACAGTTAATTACCCCCCTAATTCCAGCTCTTTAAATAAGGGGGTAGACGACATTTTTCATTGAAATCGGGCTTTAAAGCATCACCACATTTTAAAATATTCTTGGATATGAATAAATGTTCCTTAAATATTTTCTTGTGTTTTACTCATATAAAATTAAACATATATTATTAATAAAATACAATGTATTAGTTGTAAACCCCTTTGAAATTGGTGAAAAAATAAGCATTTTTGTAGTTTGTTGTCTGTAAACATATGTCCCCCCCCCCCCCCGTGAAACACAAAAAAGCTTTGGTATGAATTTGTGAAATGACAGTCCATATTACCTGTAAAAAGGAATTTTTGTTTCACGGGGGGGGGGGGGGGGGGAGATGTTTTAAAAAATATTTTCCGTTTTCCGTTGATTTCTATAGTGAAAAACACAAGTTTTACCAAAATTATAGAGTTATCTCTCTTTGTTTTCCCAAAGAAGTAATGTTTTATGAAAATTCATATAAATATCTATATACATATGAAAAATCATTCAAATGTGTTAACTTTTGAAAATTGCCTTGGAGGTAGGCGGGAGAACAATACTATCGTTCGCAGTTCTTTGTTATAATCATTAACCTTGAGTATTGTGGGGCTTCATTAGACAATCAAAATTACAATAACTAATATTTCTTTTTTCAGAGCTGGAGTTCTTGTCTTAGTGGTAAGATATTTTTTAAAAAGGTCCATTATTATAGATATCTGCTCTAGAAAGTCTCTTCAGGGGGTTAGAAATGTTTTTTAACCTTCCCTGTATCCTCTCTTGCTCAAATGCCGGATAGATTTTGTTAAGCTTGTTAAGAATGCCAAGAACCTAATATGTATTACAAAAAAAAATGTTATAAATAAATAATAGTTTTAGGTAACCGAAATATGTTTTTTATTAGGTTCATTCCATGGCCACCCATTTTTGTCCAGATGAACTCTCTTAAACTAAAAGATATTCAGGAGACCTTAGAAATAATTTTCAAATCTTTTCATCTAAAACAGGTAAGCTAAATTGATTTTAGCTTTAATTTTAGAGTTATTTTTTCTCTTCTCTTTCCCCTTTTCCTATCAAAAACATTTTTTTTTCATAAAAGCTTTAGCTATATCTGCTTTACCGACTCATTAATTCTTGGAATCATAAAAGACTCAGGAGACACAATGTTCATTCTAAACACAGCAGTTTTGTTCATTTATCCCATGAGCTGTAAAATGATAGCAATGATCCTTGAAAATATTCAATATTTTCTGTGATTTTAATAAAGATTTAATATATAAATAATATATAATCTATAAATCAAAGAAAATCATGAATCTCTAAACTCAGCTGTGTAGTAAATGAACACTATAACCCATGGACCTTTTCATTTGAATTCAAGACATTCTGTGAGGTTTTATAATGCACTCTTCTTATGTTTAAATTTACAATTCTGTCCAATCACAACTTCTTGATACATTGAAAAGAAACATATTTCTGATTTCAATTTTGAACAAGTACATACATTAATTAAAAGAATTAAAATTTCAGCTTGAAGTTGTGAAAGGCTCATATTCCTGACATACACTAGACAAAATTGCTAACGCACCACTTATTATTTCTTATTTGTGAATTGATCATTTTCCTGTTTGGTACTAGTATATAAATTATGCCTTCTTTTCCAAAACAGTTGGATTGACAAATGTTTTGGTGTCATGTCAAGACCCTTAAAGGACCTTCTTGTCCGAAAACCAATTTCCCGACGTGCACTGCGCACCGTTTTTGCCAAGATATGAAGTTGGTGATTACCGATGGTGGTCCGTGACGTTGCTACGGAAGCAGTCTCCCACTTAAAAATCAAATGATATACCCTGATTGACTACCATATCGCTTAGTAGTCATCCAGTGCCTTGGTGTCCCTACCAAATCCACCCAACTTCCGGTTGCCCCAATTTTGTGGAACATTTTTGTAAACATTTTTATGATCGTTAATTCATTTTCAACAATTTTTCACCAGAGAGAAATTCATAATCATTTAATTCTTTTAATTTTTTACAAATTTCTTCAAAGGAACCCCCTGCAGACACCATACTGGCTGCCTTAGCACGCTCTTCTAGAGTCAAACGCTGCATACGGTGTAACTTTTTTTCTGAGTTTTTAATAAGTACAAACATAAAGAACACAACCACAAAGAAAAAAATAGAAATTAATTCCAGCTAAAAAGTGTGAATGTGATTTTAATTTTTTCTATGAAGTGGTTACGCTTCAGTAAACATTGTTGTTATTTATCAGTTAAAGCGTTTAAATGTCTCATTTTTTACTAAAGTAACACAATTATATATCAAAAACATCATAAACAAGTTTTGAAAAGAAAAATGTTAATTTATTTAGATGGTGCATTAGCAATTTTGTCTAGTGTATACAGATAACTTCCATTTGGAGCTCATTTATAACATACATGTTAACAATAAAAATAGATAGCTTATGCATGAAATATATGGAGATAACGAACAGTATTCAAGCTCAAAAGTCCATTATACAATACAAAATAGGTGCAGAGCAAACACGGACCTGCAAACATCAGAGGTGGGATCAGGTGCCATGGAGGAGTGAGCATCCCTCATATATATAGATATATATAGTTGCAAAGGCACCACTTTACTCAGTTTTACTTACTTATGGTTACTTATGGTATTTTTCCAACACAGGTCCTGTCAAGGTCCTCTTCGTCGGACTCCAAACTTGCTTTGTGACTACTTGGGTGACTACTTGGGTGACTACCGGTGTAATCGGTTTTAAAATCTACTTTGTAATTATAGAGCACATCCTGGTCCTTCCAGAAGTTGTCTAGTCTATTCTTGAAAGTATTCAGAGTTTTAGCACTTACAACATCCTCTGGTAAGCTATTCCATAGACTGACAGTTCTAACACTGAAGCTGAATTTTCTTATATTGAGTCTCGGTCTCTGTACAAACAGCTTCTTGGAATTCCCTCTTCCTTGTTCCCTAGTAACGTGGTCTCTCCTTAACTTGATAAAGTCTGCTGCTAATGGGTCATACTTTCCCCTTGTTATTTTGTACACTTCAATCATATCTCCTCGGGGGCGCCTGTACTTCAGCGTTGGTAGTTTTAGTTTCTTCAACCTTTCTTCATAGCTTAATTTTGCCAATCCTGGAATCTGCTTGGTAGCTCTTCTCTGCACTCCTTCAATCATCTCTATGTGTCTTGATTTGAAAGGGAACCAGACCGAACTCGCATAGTCTGAATGTGTCCTGACAAGTGTCTTATAAAGAGGAATGAAAGTTTCTTCGTCCAAATGTTGAAAAGTTCGCCTTAACATTGCAAAAATAGAGTTTGCCTTTTTCACCTTCTCGCTTATGTGTTTATCAAAGCTGAGTTGTTCATCTATGATGACTCCTATGTCTTTTTCCTCTTGTACCTTCTCCAGAGTGCGTCCTAACAGCTCATACTCAAAGTCTTGGTCTGGGTCTTTCTTTCCAATGTGCATGTGTTTACATTTTTCTGGATGGAACTTTAAGAGCCAGGTGTTACTCCATTCTGTTAGTTTCTCAAGATCTCTTTGAAGTGTCATTTTATCTTCCCTACCCTTAACTATGTTGAAGATTTTCGTGTCGTCGGCAAATAGGTACACTGTAGAGCTCACGATATCAGGGAGATCGTTGATAAATATGACGAACATTATCGGCCCAATTACTGACCCCTGCGGAATGCCGGAAGTTAGGCTATGCCATTTAGATGTTGCCCCGTTTATGGATACTTGTTGTTTCCTTCCACTTAGGTAGTTCCTTATCCAGTCTATAAGTTCTTTCCCTATTCCATATGCTTCCAGTTTCTTAAGCAGTCTGTTATGTGGGACAGTATCAAAGGCCTTCTGATAGTCCATGTAGATACAGTCAACATCATGTCCACTGTCCAAAGCCTCTGTCCATTCCTCTAATACCCTTAACAGTTGTAGTGAAGTTGATCTACCACTGATAAAGCCATATTGTTTAGTTGTAAAGAGGTTGTTGCTTACAAAATGCTCTATTATGTGGTCCCTAACTAGTCTCTCCATGACTTTACACACCACTGACGTTAAGCTCACTGGTCTGTAGTTTCCTGCTATCGCCTTGTTTCCTTTTTTAAAGATCGCGCTAATACGTGCTGTTTTCCATTCTTCTGGAACTTTTCTCTCATCTACTGACTTCCTAAAGATCCTTGCTAGGGGTTCTGCTAATTCCACTCTTAATTTCCTCAATAGCCTTGGATGCATGTTGTCTAATCCTGGTGACTTATCTGGCTTTAACAGGTTCAGTGCTTTGATAATTTCTTCCTCCAGTATTCTTAATTCTGTCCACTCCTTCTTGATAGGGCGTTTGTCCAGTTCGGGTATGGCTTCCTCAGGTTCTTGTGTAAAAACGCTACTAAAAAAGTCTGCTAAAATATTTGCTTTCTCTTCATCCACTTCTGTTTTATTGGACTTTGGATTTTTAGGGTCGACACACAGTTCCCCGATTCCTTGTCTCGTTTTACTTTTTGAGTTAATATACTGCCATATCTTTTTTGGGTTAGTTTTTGCCTCTTGTGCTATACTCTTTTCGAATGACTTCCTTGCTTTCCTCACAAACTTTGCCACTTTGTTCCTAGTCCTATTGTACTTTTTCCTTATATTTGGATCCTTGGTAGCCACATATTTTCTGCACAGTGCGTTTTTTTCTTTAATCAAGGTGACAGTTTCTTTGTCCAAGGGCATTTTCGTTTTTCTGCTTGGTCTGATGGTGACTACTGGCACATATTTATCTTCTATGTCCTCAATTTTTTGTCGGAATTGACGCCACATCTCGTTTACTGTCCTCTGTGACTCCAGAATGCTTTCCCAATCTGTTTCGCTAATTTCCTTCTTCATACCGGCAAAGTTAGCTTTCCTATAAGTCCTCCTCTTTTTTGGTCCGCTTTTCAGTATTGCCCTGCAAACATAGTTAAAGCAGATAACACAGTGGTCGCTCTTTCCTAATGGGCTTTGGTATTCCATTTCCTCCACAGCATTTTCGTCCTTTGTGATCACAAGATCCAAAAAGGTTGGAATGTTCGTTCCTCTCCACCTTGTTGGTTTTGTGACGGTTTGGAACATGAAGTTGTCCTGCAGACAATCTATGAATTTCTGCTCAGCAGAGTTTTCACTTTTTGTACACAGTAAATCCCAGTCTATATTAGGATAGTTGAAATCTCCCATAATGAGATAGTGTTTGCACTTCATTCTTGAGGCTTCAGTTATCAGGTTTCTTAAACATTCATTTTTTTCTTCGGTATTGTCTGACGGTGACCGATAAATGAGGCCCACTAGGAAATAGTCTGTGCTGTTTATCTTTTTTTTCACAAAAAGCTGCTCCTCAAAGGACGCTGAAAGTTTTGCCTCCTCTGCATAAAGAGAATCATGTACATATAAAAGTAGTCCTCTACCTATGCTGCTTTCAATATTTACATGAAACATCCTGTATTCCTTCGTCCAATCCATCGTATATTCAGCTGGATTAGGTGCACATGTTGCATTTTTTGCCTTCACTTCTGTTATTCCTATTATCAATGGCTTTGTGTCCCTTATCCTGACCTGGAACTCATTGAACTTATTTCTAAATTGGTCTGCATTGGTGTAAAAGAGCGAAAGTTTGTTTATCACTTTGAAACTATATACATTATTTACATTCCTTTTTGTATCTTCTAGTCTGGATCGCTTACCCTGAGCTTTACCACTTTCCTTGCCCAAGGTGGACCGCGCACACGGTACTTGAATTCCCCCGAATCATTTTTATTCAATTCCTTGGCTTTCATATACAGTTTCTTTTCATTTTCCCTCTCTGTGCGTGTCAAATCATTTGCAAGTCGTACTTCACTGAATTCAATGTTTTCCCGCAACTTTCCACCTCGTTTAAAGAACTCCACTTTTTTTTCTGGGGTTGAGAAGGTAACGAGCAATGGACGGCGTTTCTTATCCTTATTAAATTTACCAAGTCTCACTAACTTTACCATGTTTTCATCTGCGATGTTCACTTCACAAACATCAGCAATTCCTTTCACCTGATCTCTGTCATAGGAACGACGTACTTCCTTATTGTCTGAGTCACTTTCCTCTATCCCATAGATGATCATGTTACATTCTCTGTTTTTCCTCTCATTAATTTCACTCAGTACTGCTGATACTGGCACGGTGTGTTTTCCAGATTCACTCGCAGTCTCGTCCTCTGTATCAGCTTGATTTGATTCTGTTGATTTCTGTATTGCCTCAGAAACTATCTCCTACACTTGTTCTTCACTGCATTTTTTCTCCATCTCGTCTTCCAGATACTTAATTCTACTATCGAACATCTTCATCATGTCTTTACATCTCTCCTCAATTTCTCTGTCCACAATGATATTTTTCTCCACTTTTTCTCGGCATGGCACACAGAACCACATGATATCACTACTGTCCATCAGATTGTATTCTTCGACCGACTTGTCCAAGCACTTAATACAAAAGTGGTCCTTGCATCGTTGGCATTCCAGTAATTTGTCACTGGGGTCAGAGAACGAGTATTTGCACAAGTTGCATTTCCAAATTTCCTCCGTGTCATTTGATCCATTTACAAGTTTATTAGGGGAGTTAGTTCTGGAGTTGTTCCTAGAGTTAGATGCTGATTTAGCAGGTCTACCTCTTCTCTTCAGTTTGTTTTCCCCGCTTTGATCGAGTCCGCCATCTTGGATTTGTTTACTAGCCATCCTTTGTTAGATATTTCGTACTGATTAAGATTTTCGTTTTTGCTGAAAATATCAATTTTAATTTGTTGTCCTTACTGTGAAAAATTAAACATTATGGTAAGTTTGTTTCATTTTATTTTGCTTGACGAATTAACTTGCATGTATGTGGGAAGTAACTCTTTCAATTCAGATGCTAATTATTACTCATCAGATCAGTATTTAAGAGTTATCTTCCTTGTTTATATAAAAAAAAAATAAATAAAAATGTGCTTTCTGGCCTTTGAATTTTTTTTATTTTTGAAATGTGAAGGAAAAGGCATGGTCAAGTATGAAACCATGTGCAGTGTATGCTGGATTTAGACTTCTTCTCTTTCACTAATTACGTTCGTAACTTTATAACATGGGTAAATTTTTCATGGATGTTAACAGACCTTACACTACACTTTTTAAAGAGAAGGTCGTTTCTTGATGTCATATTTATGCAGACAACAGTCAACATGAAACAGAAATTACAAAACTGTTGTCTATTATATTTCACCAAGTATGAAGTTTTTTTTTTTTGTGTGCGCAGAGTGTTCTGAATACGGATAGCAATTGAATTATAGTGTTTAAGTTATGGCTGAGGTAAAAATATAGTGGATATAACAAGGGTGTACGTCAAATGTGTGTGCAACTGTTTGTTGATGCCGAGATTCTGAAGTATACAAGCTTAATGTCCTGTCCTCTGTGTTGGATTAACTATGAGCATATAAGATAAAATCATTTTTTTCTACACAAATACTTGTTATAGAAAATTATGTGGACATTCACAGAATATAGTACCATAGTAGGATCCTTTGTTGCAAACGTAGCTGCATAGCTCAAAGCTGTGAACAAAATACCTCATGGGTATATCTGTTATCATACTAATGCCTGTAGTGACTTTACAACTTGTCTGTTCTTTTTCTGTCCTGGCATTTTGAAATTCTGCTGTGGTGGATGGTTATAATTACTTAAAAAAATATATGAACTATGTGAACGGTATAAACACGTTATTCTTATAACGCATGCGTAAATAAAGCCAACGTACTCAGTGTTTAAACATCAATGACGTCACTGACGGAATGCTACGGAAAATTCTGAATGATAATAATAAAAAAAATAATGATGAACCCCCTTCTGAAGTTGCGGCCATTTTGGCAATGTTAAATCCCCGTGGACTTGAATTTGCCGCCATGTGTTGAAACTGCAACAGGTAATACTATGTGATTCGGATCTTGGAACAACAGAAAATATATATTGAGATATTATTTAACCCACTCACCCCCCTTCAACTAATATCTGTATAGAAAAACTTTAAATAATATTAAGGTCTACCTGACGGTGCAACATCACTGAAATAATTTATTTTAGTTTACTACATTAATATATTTATCATAACAAAAATTGCAATAAAATAAGAATGTAACATATTTTGGTGTATTTGCACTATTCGGCTGAGAGAGATAACAGATGCGAAGCTCTGAAGATAAAAATAAACATAGATGCTGGCCACTAGGGTTTAACCTTTTCACCTGGACGGTTCCAAGAAAATGATTCATTAGCAGGTGGTTGTTTACTTGTTTATCAAAAGATGTATTTGGTTAGGAGGAAGGAGCAACCAATAGTATTGAAGTGACCAGAGGTCAGTTGTTGGTATAAATTAGCTACAACAAATGATATTTAAAGATTGTGCAAAAGATAGGAAAGGATTTTTAAAGTGCATTAGGAAATTAAAAAGTGTTGGAAGACAGAATAATAGTAATTAAAATTCAAATTCAAATTAAGAGTCATTATTGCAAATTTTGAAGGAATAACAAATATGGGGATGTACGACTTCAGGCATAAAACAGGCGGCCGGGATAGACACAATTTCAGTGGAAAGCTGAATTGTGACTGTCTTGATTGCATTTTATACAGGTGAGCTAGTTTTGTAGACTTGCGCGTTTTTTTTTTTTGTAAAATTATTATATTTTCAGATGGCTCTTTTTATTTACAGGTTAAAATATTTAATATTATAAGTAGTAATATTTATTAGAATGTTTAGTAGATTGTGTGAAATTACTTACTGTAATTTATAGATATTAAAATGGATTGTTTAATTTAATAAAGAGTGGAAAGCTGAATTGTGACTGTCTTGGTTGCATTTTATACAGGTTGGGTAACATCTCCACTCCCCAACACCTGTGAGCCGCTCTGGTCAGGAAAGGTCCTCATTTATGGAAGGTGGAATTTAAAGAGTTGTTATATTTGATGTGTCCTCTCACTTGCATAGCCAAAGATCCCGGGTTATACAAACAAATGCATGATCGGCCCAATGTCATTCGGGACTCTGCCTCCTCAAACTTCAGTGGTTGAGGTACAGAAAATAAGAACCATTAGGCTGGAGTCCGGAAAGAGGTGGACCCCGGTATGATATATTTATGTTAAATTATGGAAAATGACGCAAAGCTTCTTTAGAAATTTCATAATTTTAGAGATTTTTCTCGGATCAGTCTTACAGACAGATCTGGATTCTATTTGACTTGGCGACAGAATCTGCTATTCACTAGCTTGAGTTCCTGAGAACATGCTAGGACATGACCAGCACACTCCTTATTCATTAATTAAAGTTATCTCTTATTTTCCATTTCAATTTTTTATTCATGAAACGTGCATGTTTTGTCATAGATCTATATTTTAAATTATTTTGTTGCCAATAAATATTATAAAATTATGCTTTGTCTTTCTTTTCAATGCAAAGCTGAGTGTGTGCGTGAATTCTGTGTTCAGATTACATACGATTAACTTAAAGTAGGTGCATGTATTTTGACTCCACTTCGAATAAATTATTTAAAGGAGAACAAGTTCTAAGTACATTTTTCTTTGCAGGATGTCATTACTGGGTAGGTTTATAAAACCCCAGTAGTAAGCCTTTTAGAATGGCTACCATTTAGGTAGTTCCGGGTTTTCACTGCTGACCTCTTTACGTACAAATTAAGTCTTTAACACAATTAAATTTATAGAAATTTAAAATTTTGTAAGCTGTGTTCCTGAATTCATAAAGATAAATTACAGGAGCATCTTATCCCTTTTCCCCTAATATAGCACAAATAATGAAAAAAAATATTACACATATAGTAATAAATAAACAACTAAAGGAGAATCAAAAGTAACACACGATATGAAACAATGTCAAGAAACACTTCACCTTAAACATTTCAATTATGTTCAGTGTAAATATTCTTTTTATCCTAATAAAATCTCAAAAAGAAAACTTGACATAATGTGACAACTTCCATTTTTCGGAAAACTATCGAAACTTCTTATATCAAGAATGACAAGATTAATTTTTTTTTTAAATTTTACATTTAAAAAAAGCGGACATTTTGTGTCAGGTTGAATTTCATTTTCTTGGACCGGGTATTGAAAACAGTGCAACAAGATACATTTTTTATTTGGATAGAAGCTAATTTCAAAGGATGTATTTGAATTGTTTTTAGCATGAATAAGATCTAAGATATATGTATCACTGTCTCCGGAGCATGCGCGGATTTTTTTAAACTTTTATCAAGTAAAAGGTTTTTTGACTTTCTCTATAAATTGCACGCTCTTCTCTTATATGTTTAGTAATAGAAAATCCTCTGTAGATTACTGCATATATTCTATGCGCTTCAATTTATTAACAGTAGACTGTGTTTTCAATAAAATTATCAAAACAACTGATATTTCAGAATTCTTTTGTATTCCTTGAAAATCTACTTTCAAATTGAAATTAAGGACAGATTTTGTTTGTGATACGGAGTACGTAAAATATCAAACTGCCTACTATTTAAATAATTATGATAAGAAAAAGATATAAATGAGTATTAAGTGGGGTGTACTCTACAAGTTGTCATAATCTGAAAGTTATCTCATGTTAGAAAATACGTGTATCTGGCAAATATGTAGAAGAATTCAAGAAAATAATGATTTATTGACGTGGTTCGAGGGCAACGAGTGTTTTGTCGAATCCAAGAACTAAACCGATTGCCTGAGGCCATTAGGCTCGAGGGACGACAAAACGCATTTTGCTAGAGATCACTGTCAATAACTGTTTTGTTATATATTTTACTATTTATTTTTAGTTGACATTCCTTGCGCTGGTTTCCATGTATGTGATACTTTAGAAAATAAAATTGATTTCTGCCTACAGCGTGACGTAAAAAAGTCATAGCGGTCCAATGTCTCTTCGATATGTCCTTTATCTCACTCAACAGTCTAACATTGATTTTTTTGGGATCACACAGTAAGATATTGGAATTGTTAGCCTTCTTTTCGTAAAGATTTATATAGGAAATACTTTTAAAGGATTAACTTCTTTATATATTTTGTGATATATTTGAAAAATTCAATGATGGAAACATGCAAATTAAGTTATATCTTATGCCAATGTTTGACTTTTCATGATGAATAATAGACACAAAATCAAAATCAACATAATCAAAAATCAAAACAAAAACAGTGAAATAATACTATTAAGCTCTAATTTTACGTGACAGCTGTTAGTTATCCTGCTATCCTGTTCGAACTTGTTTGAAGCAGAATTCATTTCAAGGTCGCCAAATAGTTTCTAATGTATAAATACATAAATATGGCAACACAATGTAATTCAGCGTATGAATTCAGATATGGCATTCAGGAACGAGCCTGTCGTTATGTTTCTTCTGGTTATTCTTTTAGTCAACAACCTTGGTCTTCTTACAGTAGAAGGTAAGTATATTGCGGAAGCCCATTTAGGACATAGCAAAAAATATTTTTGAATTCGATATAACGAATTCTCGAATTTGTTATAACGAATTTAATTTGTTATAACAATTTATTGGAAATCGTTTAAACGAACTTAATCTGTAATAACAAATTAATGGATTCGTTAAAATGAAATCAAAAATTTGCTATAACGAATTTAATTCGTTTAAACTATTTCTAACATTTGCTATAACAAATTAAATTCCTTTACACGAATTCTAAAATTTGCTATAACGAATTAAATTCGTTTAATCATATTCAAGAATCGTGTCCTATAGAAAAGTACATGTATATATGAATTCGATATAACGATTTGTCAAATTCATTTTAACGAATTTGATTTGTTATAACAGATTAAGGAACTCGTTTTAAATAAGTTAATTCGTTATAACAAGTTTTAGAATTCAGTATAACAAATTTAATTCATTAAAACAAATTTTTGAATTCGTTATAACGAATTCAACAAATTTGTTATAGCAGATTGAATTCGTTATAACGAATTCGACAATTCGTTAAATCGAATTCAAAAATATTTTTGATATGTCCTAAATGGGCTTTCGTAGTATACCTTACTTCTACTTTTTAAATTATATCATGTATTACAAACATATGTGGTAGGATTGGATTTTACTGAGTTAGAAAATAACGATAACTTGTATTGGTTAATATCGTTTATTTTACATTTGGAAACTTTCTAGTTTTATACAATGATTTGAGAAACGTCCTTGTCTGGGTTATACATAGAAAGTAGATTTGATTGGATAAGAGAGACACACCTTCAGATCGCGGGGTATTTAAAGCCCAGTATTTCACGTGTAGATCAGTTGGTTTGGAACCTTCTCAAAGGTTCGTGCCAGCTCACTTTCTGATAATCGGGGTGGATCCCGGTCTCTGTCTCTGTCCCGTTCAAAATTCTCGGTAATGAATTGTCTCGTTCAAGTTGCCATTTTGTTTCCTTCATTTACACGTCCACTTTTGTTAATTTCCAGTTCCTTATTTCTATTTTTGGTAAACCGGTTAAGTTAGGCATAGTTGATTTTTCGTGCAGGGGTGGGTCACTTCTCTTTGGACTTAGCATCGGGTAGGACGGGTTCTAGATATTTTACATCTGTTAGGTAGGCACTATTTTTATTGAGGCCCATTTAATAAGATAGGTCGTTAGTACATCAGTTTCTGTTGTAAATATATAAATGTAAATATTTTGTGCTGTTAATAAAATATAATTGTTGCCATAATAAATACATGTTAATTTGTAAACTCTTGTTATTAAAATTCTTGGATGGGTAAGTCACTTACATGACTAATTGAAATACATAGGTTTATTGGTTAGTAAGAACTTGGAATAAAACGCGAAGTACTATTTTTGATAAAGAAAATGTGTGTTATTTAATGAGTTAATTTTGAGAATAAAAGAAGTACTTTCATACGATCAAATCTGGTTACATTGGTGCCGTGAGTGGTACCTAAGACTGAAGGTAAAATCAAATCCTGTTACACATATTATTCCTTTTTCTTTTTAAAATCATTATATTTCATTCAAAAATAATTGTTTTGGTAAATAATCTTTCATATGGAGTAAAATTGTTTTTTGAAAATAAAATATGGCTTCTCTATTTGCATTAAAAGTCCTGTTACAAACAATATTTATACTTATTTATTTCTTTGAATTAAATAATAATCTTAAGTATTCAGAGTTTCCCAAATATTAAAAGTCATGGCCATACTGTTATTGAGAAGAATTAATATTTTCAACGATTGTTTCAATAAATATTCCCATTTGAAATATTAGTCTCCAACAGCATACTCTACCACTAGGACAATTAATAAAAAAACTTAATTTAACTTTGTAAAGGAGTAATTATATACTTTATATTCTTTTTTTGTATATTGATATTTGAAAAGAGTCTTTAAAAATTGCAGTCAAATCCTCACTAATTTTTAATTATCTCCCCTTAAAAGCAGTACATGGCTAGTCATATAAAAAAAAATCTTATTCAAATTAAAAAAAAAAGAAATAAAGAATGCTTTGAGGCAAATTTGGTTAGAATTGGTTCTGAAATAGTTGAGACATTGAAAAGTGTAAGCACAAAAAATGGCACAAAACAGAGAGACGGAAGGCAGAGGAACATATATACGTATAGATTTATGTCAAATATTTACATGTATATCAGTTAAGCTCACTTGATTCTTTTGCTCCGGAGAGCTGAAACGCAATTGTCGGAAAAAAGTCATTGCAAATGGGAAAAAAATATTAAATGTGATCAGTTTATAGATTTCAAAAAAGTATATTTCTGAATTTGTTTAAAGGAGGAAAAAGTATGATGTAACTATTATCGGAAAATTTTATTTTGAAAGAAACTTAATATTTAAAATTTTTTTGGAACCAAAGGGCGTGGATTTTTTTGTAGCTATCGTCTTTAAACTAACAAATTGAAGAACTGTATCAATGAAACTAAGCATGAAATTTAAAAAAAAAAAAGGTAATGCATATATTTTTAATACGGAAGTCATAAAATTTAAAGAAAATGTACATTGCATGTCTAAAAATATCCTGACATCAACCAGATATGCATACCATAGAATGAAAAAGATGAAGAAAACGAAGTGATTAATCTCATAAAGTCTAAAAGAAAAAAAAAAATTTGCGAACAGAGCATAAAACACAGACCCCAAGAAATTCCAGAGCTGGGATTAGGTGCCTGGGAGAAGTAAACATCCCTCTTGAACAGTCCTGACCGCCTTTGAGCCCATTATAATGATCAGGTAGACCGAATATGCCGTAGTTAAATTCAGCATTAAACAAAAGCCTATTATTAGTATGAAACATGACAGCCAAAACACGACCCAGTGATAGATTATATCTGCTAAGTAAACAACCTCATTATAACCATCTCAGGATTCATGAAATGCTGACTTTAAACGAGTTTGTCAAATTCCCTGTAACATCAACTGATCTCTTATGTAGCCTGCCTGGATTAGAAATTGATCTTTCTTGTATTATGAATATCGAAAAGAAATCAAACTTCCTTCAAGCTTGTCTTAGATACCAATAACTAATAAAAAATAAAATGAAAATACATCAAAAAAATAATGTTAACCCTTTATTTTGAAAAATTGCCCAGATAAGTTTTAGTTCAATTTTGAATGTTCCATTTATTACATGTATATTATTTTGTATCGATTTATAAATGAAAGAGACACTTACCATGAATGTCCTGTTTTTTATTAATGGTTTTTAAGTTCTTCACATATAACCTGTATCTATATTTCAATGTTTAGGATTTCATGTCCCAAAATTGTGACGCTCACGGAATACATTGAATTGATTTTAAGCAACATTAATGTACACCTTATTAATTAATTAATTATTATTGTTCTCTTTTACATTTATCCAAGGACTAAAAATAAAACTTTTTAAAATAAATCAATTTTGTTCAAGGTACAGAGTTAGAGAAAGTTATCCTTTTGTCTCAAAAAAAAAGAAAGAAAGAGAGAGAGAGAGAGAGAGAGAGAGAATTACGGTACCATTAGGCAACTTAACTTTATCAGAGATGCATGGAAGGTGCTTCTAATGTGTTTCATTGTACCAGTCAAGGTTTCAGATGGTGTAATTTCAGCTAAGGAATGACTCGATTAATGTTTCTAAGGCAGATTAAAGGTTTTGGAGCAGGTTATAGTTTTGGAGCATGTCTCATTTCCAATTCACTATAAGCCTTATGTTGGCCAAACTTGCATGGGTGATACATCTAAGAATGCACACTACCAGGCTTGCTTCGGATACTGGACCTGGCCTAAATTTTTCTGATGAGTGGCCAGTTTTTTGAGCAAGTTCATTCTAAAGTAACTTTATTGACCAAATTTGTATGAATGATACATCTAAGGATGCACGCTACTGGGCTTGCTTACTAGTTTGAAGTTTTTGAATAAGTCTATTCCCAAGTAACTGCAAGCCATATCAGATCACATTGCACATTGCATCTTGGGATGCACACTACTAGATAATTACTTAATGTGGACTTTGCCTTATTTAAAGACGACATTCCTTGAGGTGAGCTGTGTAATCTCTGATTACCTAATGTTTCTTCCACAAAGTACTCTTGAAGGGAAAATACTGTAGAAGCGAAACTTTTCGTGGGGATAAAACTTCATTCATTTTTCTTCTAAAAATGTTTCATGGGCATTTAATTTCGTTGTTTCGAAAGAAACCCTATTCAACATATAGTCAAATAAAGATTTTGTTTGGGGTTTAATTTCGTTGAAAATTGTTACCAATGAAATAAACGAAATTTAATCCCCCTAAACAAGAACTCCCTAGAGTAGTAGACGTCACAATAGCCTGGTTCGCGTCACAAAATTGCTGATTGTTTCATCAGAGTGTAATGTTTCCAAGGGACATTTGAAAATTGTTTCAGTAACTTAATGTTAAAATTTAAAGTGAATTTAAGAGAGGTGCCGAATTTGAAAGTTTTTGTATATTCTTAAAGGTTTTGGCTTGTTTCGGTATAATTAACAATTCTTGCTTCATCAACTTGTTTGTCGATACAAATCTTAATTGTCTATCCTTATTTACTAAAATGTATAAATGCAAAGGCGAAAAATATTAAATTTAATCGATCAACTTAAAAAGCAAACACATTTTTATTAGGAATAATGTCAACTTTGATTAAAATAGTTGTATGCATCGTTTGTATTCAAAATATTTATTTATTGTTTTCTACTTAAGGAGGCGATTCTTCATGCTGGTCCCTGAATGGTAGATGTCAATATACATCGGAAAAGTGTTTCCTATATAAACCTGGATACTGTGCTGGACCAACCAATAGACAATGTTGTGTTTGGGGTAAGCCATCACAAACTTATGCTTTTGAAGTAGGAGAGAAATGCAGATGAAAAGATATTCTTGAATTAAACGCAAAATGCATAGTTTAAACATTTTTATTGAATGTCAATTTGACAATTGGAATAGCTCTTTGCATATAAAAATGCATTGAGTTTATCATTAAAATCAACAACATTCAATGATATTAATTCATGACCAAAATTAAATAACAAACAGGATAATGATACCAGGATATCAATCTCGTTTAAAGTCAAGATTTTGCATTTCTAGGGTCGATACAATTACCTTGTCTGCAAAAACAACATATTGTTTAATCAATATTTGACTGACATCTTTTATACGATTTGTTAGTCCATCGTTACCAGATCAAATATTCAATTTTGTTTCGCTGCATTTGATTCATTTTCATTCTATTTAACAACAAGTGTTAATTTTGTCGTTTTTTTACCGAACATGACGAAGAACACATGGTGAAAATGACCGGTCATTGGGAGATGCTCACTCCTCGATGGCACGTTTTCCCATTTCTGTTTTCAGAAGTCTCTGTTTTTTCTCTGCTTATAGATGCAACCTGTATTGTTTTATTTGATTTTGAGCATAAGATGTGTATGTTATTTACCTTTTCCTTTTACACTTAGTAAAGTCAATTGGTGCACCTTTAAAAGAAGTTTATAATGATATGTAGGAATTAAATAAGTGTCAAAGTAAAATGTGTTTCAAACACATGATACATGTATATACAATAAATATAATTAATTTTAATGTTAATTATTAACAGGAGCTGACCTACAATGCTTGATGAGACGTGGAACCTGCCAAAATAATTCGAATTATTGCAGAGGGGGATATCTGCCAGGTCTATGTGGCGGAGATCTATCGCGCCAATGCTGTGTGTTTCCCGTCATATCTTGAAAAAAAAACCCGGATAATTTTTCTTTGTATGCATACAAGAAAATGGCTGATTGGTAAAAAGAATATCATACTTAAAGAATTTTATGAAGTTTAGGAATCCGATATAGGAGGGGTATATTAAACCTACTCTTGTTGACTGGGATGTTAAAAGTTTTACAGACTGAAATATTAATGTGGGTTTTTTTTTAAATCATCTTTAGAAAGAAAAAGTGGAGCACAAGGTGAATTTAGTAGTAGAATCGAAATAAAGATCTTCGAAAAACAGTTGTAATACTAAGCAATAAAAATAAAGATGATATTTTCCTAAGCCTTGTATGCTGAAACTATAACATTTTGTTCATTTAGTCTTTTTTATTCTTTTATCACGACCAAGATAGCGAAAACAGAAGGGTAGGTGGTTCATATAATGCCTTTTAACTTTCTAACACGAGTCTTATTATATTCAAAACCCATATTACATTCTGACAATGTGTTAAGCTCTTCTCTGCCATATTTACACCAACGTCCAGTTTAACTGTCGAAAGAATTCATAATACAAATTTTATCGCGAATTGAAAGACCTGGGTTCTTTGAACTTAGGATTTTAAAGTTGATTTGTTTTTCATCATTATCAACATCACCGGTAATGACGTGTCCAGGGGGACTGTACCTGAAAAGAAGAGCAAGAAAATCAAGAGAATTTTGTTTTGCATGTCCAATATCAAGACACTGTAAGGTTTGTTCATATTTGTAAATTGTGATAGCAAAAGAGCAATTTAGATCAAAACATGACGTTAAATAAGTCATAATTGTTTGACTTAATCTTAATTATCTCATTTTGCAAGAAATCCAGGACATCCTCTTTATCTGATCATATCTGACAATATCTAGTTGTTTTCGTAAGTTAAAATGTTTTGATAGATATAACTGGAAGCGCTTACTTTTTTTTTCACTCGAAACTGTAGCAGCTGGTACATGATATACACATTCGCACATATGATTCTGACCACGGGACTAAAGAAAAATATATGCAAAATAAATTTATTACACTTAAACCAACATCATTTTAATATATAAAAATATTTTAAGTCCACTCGAGGGTGCAAATTCACTATAGGTAATTCAGTTTACCATAATTATATTTAGTCTATACTATGGAGAAATTTTTAATTTAAAATGTAAGTTCAAATTTTATTTTTGGTAAAGTGCAAAATTTAAATAAGTACATCTGTCAATAGAATTAATGAGATTTAGTTACAAGTGACGTAGCAACGTGTACGCTAAACTCTAAGGTACATGTGATATTTGACGACAACGATATTAATTTAGGAATGACTCTAATTCTTGGCCAAATTATTCGAGTATAACCTGGTTTGGGTCAGTTTACGCTTTATAATCCGCGAAGCGGATTATAAAACAGCGTAAACTGACCCAAACCAGGTTATACTCGAATAATTTGGCCAAGAATAAGAGTCATTCCTTATAATTTAATTCTAAAATCATTAAACAACTGTGGGTGTAAAATTTCGTTGCTTTTTATTAGTTCAAATTTGCCGCTCAATAATACAACCCTAGTAACGGAAGTGATGGGAAGCGAGGGGAGGTAAAAACTGATACATAGTCCTAGCAGCCATGTTGTTTTGTTTACATGTGGTAAGATCCAAGTTACTGTTTGAAGTTAAAGGTACATTTATTAAATCTGGAATTTTCCATGATCCCGAGGACTGGAAATGAGAGGATTGCATGGATACAGACGATTCAGCTGGTTGTCAGGGGGATGTGTCCCCATACCAAACCAGGTTATACAGAAATAATTTGTGTTCCTTTTTGGATATTAACCAATCAGAGGCTAGAATACAAACAAAATTAAATTATTATGATTTAATTATACGTACAACGTATGCAAACTTTAGTTAAAAGTGAGCACGATAGATTGAAAGGTATTGTATTCTAATAAAAAAAAAATCGGAACTAAATTGAAATTTATACCAAATTCTAGTCAGAAATATCATGTACAATGATTAATTATTATATGTATTGCTATCTCACTGTATGAGGCGGCTTTACAATTTTTATATCTTAAATATGTCTACAGTACTAATAAAAGCTTTTCTGCATCGCTTTAAAAAGTGGCGGAAGCCAAACATATAATCGACAATAAAAGAGAAACCACAACCCAAAAAAAAGCCATAAAAAGGAGAGTTTCACAAAATTCCGCATATTGGGGTGGGGGTCTTAACAGAAAACCTTTTGAGAATGATAAATGGTAGGGGCTCATACCGTCTAAAAGGGAGGCATAGAATAATAACGCAGTACATTGTTAACAGCAAAATACTTGTCAGACCCTAACCCCATTCTTTCCTTCGTTACATGTGTATACCTGTCTGCACTTTACAAGTGCAAATATAAGGGGAAAATTATTTAACTTTTACTTACTTAACTCTTATTGCTTTATGATCATAAGTTTATAAGTGGGGAAGAGATGTTAAATATTGCTATTTCTCGTCCTGAAATACTGAGACGTATAGTGTGTGTAAAAGGACTTCGCTGAACTATGTCTTGGGAATTAAATGAAACGAGAACACTGTGCTTTTTAGGTGGGTTCATGATATAGATATACAGTCCCTGAAACGTTCTACTTTCCCACTTGAACGGTGAGCGAACGCTGAACGAACGGTGAACGAACGCTGAACGAACGCAGAGCGAACGGTGAGTGAACGATGTGTGAACGCTGAACGCAACTTGGTGAACGATGTGTGAACGGTGAACGGTGAGCGAACGCAGAACGCGAACGGAGCGCAAACGCGAACGCAAAGTGAACGGTGAACGAACAGTGAACGCAAGATGAACGATATATTCGGAATGCCTCTGATCTTTTCCTTGCATTGAAACTATTTTATTGTATTATAATGTCAGGTGCCAAAAAAAATAAATAAATAAATAAGTAAACCAATAAATGAATGAATAAATAAATAAATAAAATAAATTCTCCAAAATTGTCCTAAGAAAGACGATTCATGCACATTAAGTTTTTAATCATACGATTTTAACGCATTAAAACATTGCAATTGTTGCCGAACGCTGAAGTATAAAAGATATTTTTTTAGTTGGAAAATAAAAATGTTTATTCTTATTTGATAACAAATCAGAGAAAACTTCTGACTTATAGAATGAATTAAAGCGATTGTAACATCCATTCATATATCTCCGTGTCAAGGCGATTTCATGTAAAGTAATGAAAAAAAAAAAATAATTACAAAGGTCAGTGGACGTTTTGCATTTATACGCTCGTATTTTAAATTTTAATACAATAATATATTATGTGTCATTTCTATTTTTCATGATGATTTATTGAGCAGACTTCTACATGTATCTGTAGATGGCCGTGATTATACTCGGACAAGATAATACAAAGATACATATTCATATTATTTGTTATAAATTCAATTTTCAGAACTTGATATTTAAGTAATATGCTGTTATAATTTTTATTAAACAGACAAATGAGAGAGAGAGAGAGAAAGAGAGATTCCGTTTTAGCCCCCCCCCCCCTTCCTTTCAGGCTTCACTAAATGTTTGTACCTATATCAAACAATAACTCTGAAATTTTTTTCTAAATATATTAGACAGTGAAAGTAACTTTTTTTTTCTTATCAACAAATCATATCCATCTGTTTGACAGTTTTTATTTTCCTGCTTCAAGTTTACACGAAGTCCACGTGCTTGTCCTGTCAATCAAAATCATTCGACACTGTGCAGGTGTGAAAGTTTCGTCACATCGAAGACGAAGTGCGAGTATTTCCAACAAGTTATAACATTTATTTTTATCATTTCTAGATTTGATACCAACATTTGAATAATAAATGAATAAAATATATTGGGCATTAACACTTGAATTTGAAACATACTCTCTGCCAATTTCAAATACCACCGTCGACACGTGTACATTGTGAACTACTATTGTTTTGTGACTTTTTTAGATGCATTTTTGCTTTGAGACTGAAATTTTTGTTCTAAAAAAGACCTTAACTTTTTTTAAACAGGTTAATTAAAATTTTCTGGAAATACAGTACTGACTAAGTAACCGATTTAGGGGAAAGGGGGGGGGGGGTGTATTAATCTTATCGAATGGCAAACATATAAAGTTAAGGTGAAGAAAGAATTTTTTTCTCTATAACTATAGACTTTACATACATGTATTATAGTAGCGAAAATTCTGTAGTGCATTACATTTTAAATAAATATTTCCTTTAAACACACTATCAATTTAATTCGCTCCAAAGATAATAAATTAACAGGATATCCGCAGTACTATGTATAACTCTCAGAACTAGTTCTATCATATTTTCTGTAGTAACTGAATAAAAAAACGCGTTAGAAATAAATATTTTCGTAATTTTGCTGCGTAATTATTTGACTTGGATAATTATATCTCCATTAACGATTTGTCGTCTTTAACAAAACAACAAAATGTTGCAGTGCTTGAAGTATTTGCACATTGCCCTAAATTAGTTAAATTTAATATATCAGCATCTTTCTACATAGGTACCGAATGTGCTTATAACAACATTTATTTTCCAGAGTAATTTAATAAATAATCTAATAGCTAAGTTAGAATAATAAAAATATATATCTTAGATATTTTCCCCCATGAAATAATGATTCTTCAAACACGATATGTTAGTTATTAAATTAAAAAATCTGTAACTCATTACCTACAAAAAGATAAGTCCTTTCACTTGGGAGTTCCGAATGGCAATGAAAACTGAACGATAAGTGAACGCTGAACGCAAGGTGAACGCAAAGTGAACGGAACGAAGAGCGAACGCTGAACGCTTTGTGAACGGTGAACGCGAGCGCACGGTGAACGGTGAACGCAAAACTGTGAACGGAGAGCGAACGGTGAACGCACGGTGAACGAACGGTGAACGCACGCTGAACGAACGGTGAACGAACGGTGAGCGAACGGAAAAATGGGAAAGTAGAACGTTTCAGGGACTGTAGTATAGACTATTTCTTGTTTAGTTCTAAGGGGAAAAA